CAATATTTAACATAAACTTAAACAGCAGATCCTAATAATCTGTCTTTTGCTCAGTATAAGGTTGCGTCTGCGTGTCAATGACGGTATTGCTGCTGCCTGCTGCTCTCCCGTCACACACCGCACCTCCGACTTAAAGCCTTAGCCCCGCCCCCTTCATCTGAGCAAAGGCAAGGCAAGTTTATTTATATAGCACTTTTCAACACAAGGCAATTCAAAGTGNTCTTGGCCACATGTAGAGCTTGGGCCTGGGAAGCAGTGTCAGACTCGCAGTACAAAACCCGCTGGACGTTTCGGTTGCTTTTCAAGGTTTATTTCCAGCAAACATAAACAAAATACGAAAACAATATTTAACATAAACTTAAACAGCAGATCCTAATAATCTGTCTGCCTGCTGCTTTCCCGTCACACACTGCACCTCCAACTTAAAGCCTTAGCCCCGCCCCCTTCACCTGAGCAAAGCACACCTCCCACTGAAACAGAAAAATGCATTAATAAAGGTTCCAAATAAATCAAAACAAAATAAACTTAAATGCGGCTCCTACACGTATATTTGTGAAGAAAATAAATATTGTGATCACCGTTATCAACAACAGCTGTATCCTCTGTTTAAATGTGTAAGATGAGTAATAAAACATAAAAAAATGTAACTATCATTATCAACAGAATGTGAAGAGCTTACGCTATTGACCTAACTAAAACGATAGACGCAGCCGGGACGCCAATACGGAAGTGCCACCCACTGCAGTTCATCGAGTAGCCAGTAGGAGCAGTCTGCAGAAGGAAGCAATTTCCATAGACCCCCATGTTAAAATGCCCAACTTTACAGCAGAAATAAACATGTTTACATCGTGGTTCAAAAAACCATATTCTCTGTATAGTTAGATCCCCCCTTCATGAATATGGATTCGGGGGGGTGAATTTTTTCTCAACTCATCTGTTTAATTAATATTAAGCCTTAAAGTTATGCATATATTAGGGCGTGGTCACATTGAGTGACAGCTCCGTTCAATCACTGATGCTGCTAGCTTCTTGTCTCTCTGCTAGCTGCTCCGTGAAGCTAGCTACAGGAACTGGTCAGTTCATCCAGGGAACACAACTTGAAGCCGCCGTGTTTGTTTGTTCTTCCTGCTTATATATCAGACTATTATGACTCGCTCTGCGGTTAAAACAGACGGTGCATGAATGCAGTTTTGCGGTAAGTGAAATTTGAGTACTTTATTTATGTGTTAATGATTTTAATCAGCTACGTAATGTTAAGGCTTGGGTTAGCGTGTAAGCGAGTGGTAGCTACATCGGTGCTAACGATGCTAATAGTAGCCTCCAAGTTAAAATCATAGACTATATAAGTATATAAAGGTTCAAACGAAATAGACAAGTGTTAAGCGTTAAGTGGGATAATACTGTCAGTATTATCCCACTTAACGCTTAACACTTGTCTATTTCGTTTGAACCTTTATATACTTATATAGTCTATGATTTTAACTTGGAGGCTACTATTAGCATNCACGGTACGTTAGAGGGGTTCCCAAACTTTTCAGCCCGCGACCCCCAAAATAACAGTGCCAGAGACTGGCGACCCCCTGTCGACAGGGGGGGTGCTAGTGAATCAGTTTTCTACACTATCACTACTGTCATTATTAGGCTGTAATTTTTAAATAGTAAAAGAATTAATCATTATTTTTTTATAATTTTTAATTTTAATTTTGTAATCATCTCGCAACCCCCACTCGGGGTCTCGCGACCCCCAATTTGGGAACCCCTGCTCTAAAAGCTGCATTCAAGGGAAAGACGTTGCGATTAGGTCGCACAGTGTAGCCTAATGTCGAGCTTAAAATAGTATCACGAAATGTCAGTTCATGTGTGACCACCCTGCTTCAGATCATTTCTGTAAAGTGCACACNGTCGCCAGTCCCTGGCACTGTTATTTTGGGGGTCGCAGGCTGAAAAAGTTTGGGAACCCCTGTTTTAGAGGGGAAGAAATATCAACTTCAATGAACAGCTTTAGTGCCGTTTGCAGAAGTCCGCAGGTATGAAATGAGA